TTTTCTTTCTTTTTTTATTTTTTGGAGAGATTTTTGCTATAGGGCACGTGCGCTCGCCAGACAGACAGAGAGAGACATAGAGACAGAAAGCGAGAAATCACCCCCCAGGGGGGATGGTCATGCCGCAATCCCTTCTCCTCCATTCTCCTCTCGGGATCTTGGGCACGCACGCACACGCGCCCGGCGTGAGTTTTAAGCCACCGGGTTCAGGACGCGAACCACGATCGACTACGTGGGAGTCCAGCGACATAGTCATTATGCTAACTGCTGGTTCCCATCGGCGTGAGTTCTAAGCCACCGGGTCCGGGACACGAACCGCAGTCGACTACGTGGGAGTCCAGCGACATAGCCATTACGCTAACTGCTGGTTCTCCCCCCCAACCCACTTTTATAAGTGCTACTTGGAGGTCAGTGATGATGTAGCTGGTCCTGGGTCTGCGTCCATCCTGGGATGCCCTGAGCATCCCTGGTGCACACATGTGCCCGCGGTGTGGGCTGGCTGGGAATGGCAGTGGACCGTGGCACGAAAACTCTGTGGGGAGAGCTATCTCACTTTCCCATAGAAGTAAGTAAATATAAGAAAAATGCTACTCGGAGACAGTCACACGGCCATCTTTCGGAAACAGAGCCAGTCCCCTGTTCTGAACTCTTGCATGGTTCACGGAGACGTTCTCAGCATCCTTTGTCCTGCTGGTAAGAGGCATTAGCAGCACAGCGGCGCCCTGGGAACCGGAGGACAGTCTGGGAGGAGGGAGGAGGCAGCGGGCCCTCATAGGCTGAGTTGCAAGCAATGGGCTAAAACCATTCCACCCGTTCACGTATTTTGGGTCCTTATTTTCTGGATAGGTCTACTATAGAGGCAAGTACCACTAATTGGTTAGCTCTTCCAAAGTGCTAAGTTCCAAGGAAAAAGTTTCCCCGGCAAGTGCATTTACAGATTCACCAGGAAATGGGATTGCCTTCAATGCCACTAACATGTCTCCTGCACCTTTTCCTTCCCTTAATCTGCCTGTCCCTTCTCTCCCCATGGGACAGGCTTTGGAAACTTTTCAGGTACTCAAACTCACGAAACTGTAGACATATATACAGGTGACATTCCAATGTACAGCCAGCTTTTCTCCACAATACTCCGAATTAACACATGGAAGCCCTGGAGCAGCCACTTCGGAATCAGACAGAGACCTGAACTGCTCATTACGTGGGCCTCAAAATACTAATCGCTAATCATCCAAGAAATGAGGGGCTTTGTTATCTTTAGCTATGATGCGACACACGTGCTGAGCATCACATTTCTGGAGACAGTGCCCGAGGAACCACCACAGATTAGCATCAGAAACATATGAGAGTATTTTAAAAAAAGTTGTGAAAAAGCGGAATTAAAGTACAAGTTTATTTCAGTGCAAAAACATTTTAAATCTGTGCATTATTTTTTCATAATTTGCATTTCAGATAAACTTTTTGAAGACTCCTTATATCAAGCATGGCCATAGCCTCATGTTTATTTCATCAAAATCAAAACATCAACCTAACCTGAATGTTTATTAATAAGGAATCAGATCATCAAAATGAAATATCGTCATCCTACTACAAAACACCTACAAAAGATTTTGGAAACAAGGCAGAGTTGGGCCAGCCCCACGGCCTTGTGATGAAGGGAACCAGATCCCACATGACTGACTGAGGTTCAAGTTTTGGCCTGGAGGCTTGGAAAAGATGCCGGGCACATTGTGTGTGTGTGTCAAGAATCGTAACCGGATGACTCCCACGTAGTCGACCGCGGTTTGCATCCCGGACCCGGTGGCTTAAAACTCACGCCGGGCGCTTATGCATGCGTGCCCAGGATCCCGAGAGGAGAATGGAGGAGAAGGGATTGCGGCGTGACCATCCCCCCTGGGGGGTGATTTCTCGCTTTCTGTCTCTGATGTCTCTCTCTGTCTGTCTGGCGAGCGCACACGCCCTACAGTGAAAATCTCTCCAAAAAAAAAAAAAGAAACAGGAAAAAGAATCGTAACCGGATGGAGAAAAGTAGGAGAAGGGACTGCAGTGTGACCATGTCCCTTGGGGGGGGTGTTCTCTCTCTCTCCCTCCTTCCTTGCACCTCTCTCTGGCTGGTGCATGTGTCCTCTGGCCAAACAAAACAAAGCAAAATGGGTGGTGTTAAAAAAGGCAAGACAGACTTCTGTTCAGTCTGCCGGTACTTCTGGAAAGGAGAAGGCGCACACCCAGCGTGATTCTCCACTTTCCTTTTGGCTCATGAATATGCAGACCAGGAGAAGCACGAATCTGGCACTTGCCTCTGGGGAGAGGGGCAGAGAAGTGAGGATGTTGAGGGGATGTTAGCTATTGCTGTAACAATGACACCAACAAAGGAAAGGAAAGGAACAGAAAGCAGAAATAAATACGTCAAAATGTTAGTCGTCGTTCATTTCAAAAGCAGGAATATGGGGTTTGCTGTGTTGTCTGTATTTGATTGTAGCCGTCAATGCATGAAAAGGAGGAGAAGAAGCTAAGAAACCAATACACTCGTATGCAGTAAATAGTCCCCCAAGGCTTTGGCTCAGGGCTTTGCTCCTGTACCCTTTCTCCTGGTCCTTCCTGGGCTCTGCTGGTCACCTCAGAGTGCTGACAGTCCTGGGCTAGGAAGCCAGTTGGCCAGGGGACACTTACCAGCTAGGAGGCCTGAGTTATTCACTTAACCTCTCAGACTTCCGTTCTCTATCTTTAAAAAGGAAATAAGGGCCAGCCAGGTGGCAGGGTGGTTAAGGTGGCTGGACCCACCTGGCTGAGTGTCTAGTTTGCGTCCCAGACCTGGTGGCCTACAGAACACCCTGGGCGCCTGTGCGTGTTTGCTCAAAATCCCAAGAGGAAGATGGAGGAGAGGGGACTGTGGTGTGACCATCCTCTCTGGGGAGTGATTTCTCACTTTCCTTCTCTATCTCTCTGTCTCTCTCAGGTGAGCACACATGCCCTATAGGAAAAGAGGAAATAAAAGAACACCAGCCTGGGAGAGCTGTTAATTTACAGCAGGAGCTGGACAGGGTCTGCCACAGACACAGCTGTAGGTGGGGACTAACAGCAGCTCTGATAATAAACCCCGCGACTCTCACCCGAGCTTGCTTTTTGTTTTCCTTTTTTTGGAGAGGTTTTTGCTATAAGGGCACATGTGCTCACCAGAGATACAGAGAGATATAAAGTGAGAAACCAACCCCTAGAGAGGATGGCCACGCCGCAATCCCTTCTCCTCCATTCTCCTCTCAGGATCTTGGGCATGCACACACACATGCCTGGCGTGAGTTTAAGCCACTGGGTCCGGGACTCGAACCGCAGTCGGCTACATGGGAGTCCAGGGACATAACCATTATGCTAACTGTTGGTCCCATCACCACAGCTTTCTTTAATTCAGAAATTTCCAGAAATACAGAGGCTCCTTGACTTACGATGGAGTTATATATTGATAAACATGTCATGAAGGAAAACAATGGAACTCAAAAATGCATTTCATGGGAACCAGCAGTTAGCGTAATGGCTATGTTGCTGGATTCCCACGTAGTCGACCGCGGTTCGTGTCCCGGACCCGGTGGCTTAAAACTCACGCCGGGCGCGTGTGCGTGCGTGCCCAAGATCCCGAGAGGAGAATGGAGGAGAAGGGATTGCGGCGTGACCATCCCCCCTGGGGGGTGATTTCTCGCTTTCTGTCTCTATGTCTCTCTCTGTCTGTCTGGCGAGCACACGCGCACTACAGTGAAAATCTCTCAAAAAAAAAATGCATTTCATGCCACAATAAACCCACCGTCAAGTCAAAAAAGGTCACGGGCTCCTCGACTTATGATACAGTTATGTCCCGATAAATTCATTTTTTCTCTTTCTTTCTTTTTTGCCACAGGACATATGCACTCACCAGAGAGACAGAGAGGGAGAGGGAAAGGGACAAAGCACCCGCCATTGGGTGCGGTCACACGGCAATCTCTTCTCCTTCCCTCTCACCTTTCGGGATTTGGGGCACACGCACACGTGCACTTGGCATGTTTTACAAGATGCCAGGGCCGTGATATGAACCACAGTCAGCCGCGTGGGGTCCAGCTCTCTAACCACCAGACCACGCAGGCTGGCCCCTCAATAAGCCTACTGTGAGGACAGGACTGTTGTACTTCCAGTTCAAACACCCCAATACCCAAGGACCCCCCCCCCCCGAGCAGCACGCCTGCAGTCTCCCATCGTCTCCCAGGCCTCTTTCCTTGCCCTCTGCCAGTGACCTCGTCTCACCTGGTCCTTTTGGACTCTCCTCATCTCATCTTATCCTTTTTAAAAAAAAAAATTATTTAATTTTAATTTTTATAGAATTATTTATATAACTTTATTTATTCATTCATTTATTTTAATTTGACCAGAGAGAGAGAGATAGACGGAAAGTGAGAAATAGAGCCACCAGGTGCGGAACTTGAACCGTGGTTGCCCATGTAGGAGTGTCCAGTGCCTTAACCACTGTGTCACCTGCTGGCCCCATCATCTTACTCTTTTTTTTTTGAGAGATTTTCATTGTAGGGCGCGTGTGCTCGCCAGACAGACAGAGAGAGACATAGAGACAGAAAGCGAGAAATCCCCCCCCAGGGGGGATGGTCACGCCGCAATCCCTTCTCCTCCATTCTCCTCTCGGGATCTTGGGCACGCACACACACACGCCCGGCGTGAGTTCTAAGCCACCGGGTCCGGGATGCGAACCGTGGTCGACTATGTGGGAGTCCAGCAACATAGCCATTACGCTAACTGCTGGTTCCCCCCATCATCTTACTCTTGATGAGATCTTCTACCATGTCCCTGTGTCCTACAGCATGTCCTGCCTGGCAGGACACAGCTGTTACAACTCCCTGGACAGAGCCAGAAGGAACACTGAGCATAACACGGGTCCCTGGAGGGCCGGGTCTTCGGCAGCCGGAAACAGCCGCTCAGCCTCTTACCTTTCGAACTGCACCTTCTTATGTCCTCCTTCTTTCACGTAGTCGAGAACTTGCTTCTGAGTCCGACCACTAAATGAAAGCCACGAAAGGACAAGGGAAAAGACACAAAGATGTTCTCATCAGAACACTCAGCTCACCCTCCTTGTCTCTGCCCGCTCCTTCCATAACCAAGAGACACAGGCAGCCAGGAACAAAAGCAACCCAAGGGACTGCATCTCTGCGTGCACTCAGTCATTTACTATCTCCTTATATACGCAGACAAAGGCTCGGTTCACTAATAAATCCCCTCATTCTTTTCTAAGAGAGGGATTTTTTGCTATAGGGTACATGTGCTCACCAGACGGACAGAGAGAGACAGAGAGACAGAAAGCTAGAAATCACCCCTGGGGGATGGCCATGCTGCAATCCCTTCTCCATTCTCCTTTTGGGATTTTAGGCACACATGCACAGGCACTCAGTGTGAGTAAGAAGCCACCAGGTCCGGGACTTGAACCACGGTGGGCCATGTGGGAGTCCAGCGATGTAACCATTATGCCATCTGCTGGTCCCATAAATCCCTCTCATAATTGTGTGTCTAGTATGGAGTAAGCACTCCATGAAAGATCTGTACCAGAGTTGGGGATAGTCTGGTTCACTTTTAGACGTCCCCATGCCCCAAATATTATTGAACACAAAGTAGACATTCACATATTTGTTAGAAAGCAAATGGTGGACCAGCCAGATGGCATGGTGGTTAAGGGGGCTAAATGTCACATGACTGACTGTGCAGTTCGAGTCCTGGACCCAGAAGCTTGAAAACCATGCCAGGTGTGCATGCTTGTGTTCCCCAAGTCTCGAAGGGAAATAGAAGAGGGGAATGATTTCTCACTTTTTTTTTTTTAAAGGTTTTTGTGATAGGGCACATGTGCTTGTTGGAGAGAGAAACAGTGAGAGGGAAAGGGAGAAATCACTCCCTAGGGGGGATGGCCACACTGCCATTCCATCTCCTCCATTTTCCTCCCGGGATTTTGGAAACACACACACATGCACCCAGAGTGATTTTCTTCTTTCTTTTTTTTTTTTTTTAAGAGAGATTTTTGCTATAGGGCATGTGCTCTCACCAGAGAGACAGAGAAAGAAAGCAAGAAATCACCCCTCCTAGAGGGATGTCCATGCCACAATCTCTTATCCTCCATTCTCTTCTTGGGATTTTGGACATACATGCACCTGCGCCAGGCATAAGTTTCAAGCTGTTGGGTCCGGGACTTGAACTGTGGTCAACTACGTGAGAGTCCAGTGATGTAACCATTATACCACCTACTGCCCTCCCACTCACAAGTGATTTTAAAGCCACCAGTTCTGGGACTTGAACTGTGGTCAGCCATGTGAGAGTCCAGCACCTTAACCATCATGCCACCTGCTGGCCCCAGTGATTTCTCAATTTCTCTCTCCCTCTCTCTCCTCCCAGTGAGCACACATGCCCCATGGCAAACTACAAAAAAGAAAGAAAGAAAAAGAAGTGGAAAAGTGAACTCATGACAGGCACGTCTATGGAGCATCCTACAACGCGGTACCAGATAATCAGATGCTTCTCCTTCGGCAGAGAAACGAAATCCTCGCTAGACTAGAGAACTGTGTTAGGAGGCCGCTGTGCCGTGGGCTGCCCAGTGGCTCCCACAGAGCATCTGGGGTTCCCAGGAACCCGGCAAGGAGGAGAGCAGGGCCCACCAGGTTCCGGAGCACGCACCTGCGTCAGCCTTACCTCCTGCGGGCTGAGCTGGCCTCACCGCAGGGCCTCTCAGCAGCCGTGACAGCAGCAGGAGGAGCCTGGGGGAGGATGCTCACACAGCGAGAGGCTTACCTGAACCGGAACGACGACCCTCGGCTGAAGAGAACAGGCTTTGGCTTTGGTTTGGGCTCTTCAAAGAGTCTGAAAAAGGCATGATGTTCAACGCAGATTTTCCAGAAGGACTTGCAAAAATCCCGACTGGCCATTAAGAATTCCAAGGTATCCTGGTATGAGCTCTAGAAAGAAAAAGGGGAACTTTGGTGTTCTCTATTACCCACAGACATCCCGTGGAAATACGAGGGAGAGAAAAGGGATCTACCCAGGAAATGGTCAACCGTGGATTTCATTATAGCAAGGTTATAAATTCAAAGACTTGGTAAAATGCCGTTACTCCTAATGACAACGCAGTCACTGTTCAGCCGTTGGCTTCTCCCCTGAGTTCCTTAGTGGGATAGCAGAAACAGCGGAACAGACTCAGAGGAAGTGATACCACTTTTTATTTATTTTTTTCTTTTTATGGGCAGGGTTCATAAACAGATCATTTACTTGGCTTATATTTCCTTAAAAAAAATCCAACTACTAAAAAAATTTATTCCTTGCCTCTTTAAAATAGCAGAAACATGGGGTCAGCAGGTGGCATGGAGGTTAAGGTGTTGTATCCCAGTTCGAGTCCTGGACCTGGCGGCATGAAAACACGCTATGCATATGTGCGTGCATGCCCAAAATCCTAAGAGGAAATTGGAGAAGAAAGGATTGCTGCATGGCCATCCCCCAAAGGGTGATTTCTCGCTTTCCCTCTCTCTGGTTAGTGCACAGTCATATGGGGGCAAAGATTTTAAAAAATAAAAATAACAGAAACACAGTTACTCTTTCATTCCCCCTGGCTCAGGTCAATTTTGACTTCGGTCTTGAGTCTGCCTTAAAGAACAGCACACAGCTCAAGCCTCCAGGGTGCCCCATGAACCACACAGGAAATGTATTGTTTTCTGGAGTGCGAACATTTCACTCTCAAATTCACGCCGTTTGATTCTAGAAAGGGGATAGGGTCATTTTCTGTCCCCACACTGAACACTCCCAAGTTACATGACCGTATTACATGAACGAAGGTTGCCGTGACCCTAACTTTCCCAGCAGTTCCAACCACTTTGGAGGACCTCCCAGTTCTGGGCAGACATGACTTAGACAAGTCGCGCTGCAGCGCTTCATCTGAGAATCGGCTTTTGGGAACGCAGAATGCGTTTTCCCACAGGAAGCCGTTTGCAGTGGGTGTGCTGTGGGGGCAGGCCCTGTATTTAACCCATTTTGCACTGAACTGTGTGCCTGGACTGCCGTTCCCCGTCTTCTTTCTCAGGAGAAGAGGACCTTTATGCCCCGGTGTGAGCAGACACACGGGATCTAGCCCCACCTCCTCCATCGCCATTTCTGGCAAATGAACGATCTTCCTGTCCCAAAAGTCGGGGTCCTGGAGGGCCTGTGAGCATGGAGGCCTAGGGCAACAGCCAGGGTGAGCGTCAGGACTTTCTGGATGGGCAGGGTCTGTCCGCACCTGGCTGAACGCTGAACGGGGTCTCTGGGGCCAGCGCAGGGGCCAGCACTGCACAGCCCAGGTCGTTTCTGGGAGGTGAGCCCTTGCCCGAGGCACAGCCTGCATGCTCGTGAGGCCAGCTGTGAACCCTGAGCACTGGGACACATCAGTCCACGCGGCACTCAGGTCCCTTTCTTTTTTTAAAAAGAGATTTTTGTTATAGGGTATGTGCTCCCCGGAGCCAGAGGGAGAGAGAAAAATCACCCCCTCCCCAGGGGGAATGGCCATGCCAATGCCTTCTCCATTCTCTCAGGATTTGGGACACACATGCCCATGTGTCCACCTGAGTTTTAAGCCTCTGAGTCTGGGACTTGAACCATGGTTGACTATGTTAGAGTCCAGCGACATAACCATTACGCCATCTGCTAGTCCCCACTTGAGTCCATTTCTACAAAAGGCCCTGACAGCTAGTGCCTGCCGTTTCAGGGTAAGTGCAGACCTCCCCGCCCTGGGCGGCCCACTCCACCTGTGGGCCCCCAGGGACCCCCAGCTGCTTACGTTGGCGTCGGGGCGGAGCTTGATGAGAAAGCGCTTCCTCTTGAAGCTCAGCTTCCGCACCTTGGCCCAGTTGAAGGCATTGATCTTCGTGCAGCCCTGAGAGGAAAAACAGCGGCCAGTGAGCCAGAAACACTACCAAACACGGGAGCTGCTCTGCCCTCCTGGGGGCTGGTGCGGAGGGTTCGATCCTCAGTACTGCCCCTGCCAGAGAGAGAGTTCTCGAGACCCCTGGCTATGGGGTGAGGTCCGCCCGCTACTCATTATTTCTCACTAATTATATGATTTGGCATTCAAGCTAAGTCTGCCTCCAGGGAGAAGAGAAGCTGGCCCAGGCAAGGATAGAAAGGAAGATAAATAAAAACAAAACCATGATGACCACCACACTAATTAACAGCCACTGCCGATGGGGAGCCAGTGCTGTCCTAAGGACTTCAGTTCCTTTTGTATCTTATCAAACCTTACATAAAACTGAGCCTGACGGATGGAGTATTTTCACTTCACACACACAAAGTACGACATGGACATATTTTAGTTTACTCAGAGTCACACAATCCAGGTGGCAGGACGAGATCCCTGCACACTGTCTTACTCGGCTGCCACTGACAACACACAGCTGCTCACCCCTGACTGTCCACACTGGCCTGGCTGCAGGGCCCCAGCTCCCAGCAGCACCAGCAGGACTGGAAAAGGAGGGCCAGGCCTGCTGTGTGTCTTCAAGGCCAGTGCGCAGTCTCTGAGCTGGACTCGCACGTGCTGATGGTCTTCGGTAGTGGTAGGAGAGGGTGGGACACTAACTCCTACCCGTCTTATCTCAACGGAAATGATAAATGTTGACCTAGATTGAAGGCATACTGGTGATTACGATCGTTTCATCATTTAATGAGGCGAAATCATTCCTGTCGAGCTCGCTGGAACACACCAGGCTATTTGTTTGAAGTGGTAAGAATGAAGCAATTAGGCATGGCAAGAAGATTAATTTCAAGATATAGCCGGTGACCTGGTGATTACATTTCTGGGCAAGTCTCAGTATTACGCTTATATAAAACAATCACAGCCAACGACTTCAACTGTCAGGCCCTGCTTCTCCTTCTTTATGACTTCTAGAAATGTTCAGGGGTTGAGATTTTGAAATGTAATGGCAGTACTGAAAATCCCATGTGGTGTTATTGCTGCTTTTCTTATCAGATATGTACAGACCACCTGTGAGGGTTACAGACGGTCGGAATTCCAACCTCCCCAAACACCACGCTCGTCAGAGCGTCACTCCCAACTACCCACAACGATACCTGGCCTGAACACATCTGGACGCGGGGAGCACATCTGGAATAATCTGTATGTGTCACAAATACCCGATGCATGAGTAGAGAATTGCTGGAATTCTCTTGATAAAACCAAGAGGGAGGGTCTAAGTAGATCTGGCCATCCTCAACAATGGGTTTTAGGTCATGGCGACTTCAAAACTGAGTGAAATTTGATCGTATTTCGTGACGGGACAGATGCTTTCTCCATAACATTTGAAACCAAAGCGCAGGTCACTCACATGCGTTTAAGAGAAATGTACTGAGGAAACTTCTGGGTGGTAAATATGGCCTTATCTTAACTTTACCGATGGCTTCACAGGATACACACCTGTAATTATCAACTGCATGCTAAACATGCGCATTTTGCTGTAGGGCAACAATACATCAATGAAGCTGTCAAGAAGACAGATGTGGGGCCAGCAGGTGGCGTGGTGGTTAAGGCACTGGACTTCTGCATGGCAGACCCTGGTTCAAGTCCTGGACCTGGTGGCTGAAATTCACCCTGGGTGTGTGTGTGTGTGCATGTGTGCCCAAAATCCCAGGAGGAGAATGAAGAAGAGGGGATTGTAGCATGGCCATCCCCTGTGGGGGGTGATTTCTCACTTTTCCCCTCACTGTCTCTCTCTCTGACAAGTGCAACTACCCTGTAGCAAAAATCTAAAAAAAAGAAAGAGAGAGATATGCATGGATCAATGAAACACTCTAACAGCAGTGAGGTCAAGAGAATACACATTCTGGAGTGCAAAGAATTCCATGTCCATAAACAGAACACAGGCAAGAGCTCAAGGGCCAGTGTGCGTGTTACTGTGAAATTCCTGCAGTCGAGGGCAAGGCTTCTGTGAATTTATAAAACTGCTGTATCTTAAAAATGCACTTTACATTTCTTTTTTTAATAGCTTTTAATGCCAGTGGGCATGTGAATGTGTGTGTGAGGGAGAAAGAGATAGGGAGAGAGAAGAAGCACCCCCTGTGGGGGCTGGTCACACTGCAATCCCTTTCTCTCCAATCCTCCATCTTGTTGGGATCCTGACGTACTCCTGGCATGGTTTTCAGGCTGCTGGGTCTGGAACCTGAACTCTGCCGGGCCGTGTGGGATTGTGCTTATTCTGTGCCGCACTTAACCACCAGCCTATGGGGCCAGTCTGTACTTTTCAAATGAGGTATATCTCAAGTCCCACATAAGCAGGCTCAACTCAAATTAGATGAACAAAAAAAACCCAGGATGATATTATAGCAAAGTTCCATCTGCAAGTGTGAAAATGTGTTTACGCGTGGGTCTGAGACCTCGATGTCCTCAGGCGACGTCCATGTTCCAAGCACAGGCCCACTGAGAGGAGCAGGTTTCTGTGAGCCTACGAAGTCACTACAACCAAACAAATGTCTAACATGGATTTCCCAACCAGGGCAAGGTGAATGAGACCAGATCGGGAAGTCGAGGGCCTAGGAAACAAGCCCTGAGATACAGTTATTTCTTTCCTGTCCACCTGAAAATCACTCTCAGCGCTCTGAACATGGCCCACCCAGCGATAATCAGGGCTGAAGGGCCAACCCCTCTCCGTCCGCCGCCATGGGAGCCGGGCCGCGTTCTAACACTCTCACCTGAAACACTAGAATCCCCGTGTTGGCGACAGCCAGGTTGATCTTCGTGCCCTCCCTGTCCTTGGCCGGGTGCAACCGGATCCCGTACATCTCCAGCCGGCGGGCGATCTCGAGCAGCTGGAAATCTGATTCTGCTGGTGTTTGTCCCCTGACAAAACAAAAATGAAAGAGAAAGGCCCGGAGATTTGAGTTCCCTGTGTCTATTAATTTGAGATTAAGCAGCTTCTCCTGGGAAATGAGAAGGCAGAAGCAGTGTGGGCTCCCCGATCGGATGACACCCAGCCTCCCATTCATTATAACCCAAAGTCTCGCAGCCGGGACAAAGGCACCATTGCTCGTGTAACACAAAACCCCAAAAGTCTATCTCAAACTCAGCCGGGTTTTTTTTGTTTTTTGTTTTTTAAATCTCAGGGAGTCTCCTCTAAGGTCATATAAAGGCAAAACACCAGTGTGAAAACAAGTTTTTAGTCACTTACAGTAACCAAACAGGCAAGCAAAGTTCAAGGCAACCCTCATACTGTCACCAGGTTCAGATGCCTGCCTCGGAACAACGGAAACCAGAGAATCCTTACAAAATGCTGTACTGATAAAAAAAAATGAGATATGCCAGCAGGTGGCATTGTGGCTAGTGCTGTAAGGTGCTGGATCCCTCATGTCTGACTTCACGGTTCGTGTCCCAGACTAGCGTTTTGAAAGTCACGCCAGGTACATGTGTGCATTCTCTGATAGGCAAATGGAGGGGAAGGGATTAGAGCAATGGCCTTCACACTGGGGCATGATTTCTCACCCCCCCACCCCCAGCAAGCACACATGCCCTATGGCGAACTAAAAGAAAAGAGAAGATATTACAAAGGCTGTACGTTTTCACAATATTCTTACTTCGTCCTTTTCTCAGTTTCCTCTTTAGAGGAAATCCAGATGGTCCCGGTTGAACTCTCTTGCTTTTATTTCAGAGCACGGATGCCTTCACATCCCGGGTAGACTCCAGTCTCGGACCCTGGCCCCAAGTGGGTCCCTGCATTTCTGAGAGTCAGGAAGGAGCGCCAATATCCCAGGGAGCCTCCCTGATCTTCTTTCACCTCCTTTGTGTAGTTTTTCACAAGTGTGTGTACATGCGTACATGGGTACGTGCGTATGTGCACACGTGTAGCCTTATGTATGTTGGGAGGCAGACAGAAACCACTCCATGGAAAGAAGGAGACATGACTTACACGTGGTTATGGTGAAATTCCACAATTTTGTCTTCCAGTGCATCTTGCTGAGGTATGTACTTATTTTTTGCTAAGTGCTCTCTGTCCAATGCTTCATCGAAATCCCCAATCTCAGCTAAAAGGGAACAGAGAAAGAAACACGGGCCACAAGGATCAACATTTTGCAATGTGTCACATTTCCCCACCAGCGAACTGGAAGCTAGCGGATGCCGTAAGGTGAGCCCAGCTGGTGGGGTGTATCGCAAGCGCTAGACTTCAGAGCAGAGGCTGCAAGCACATCTCTGACAACCCTGCAACGTAGGGAGGCTATTTCCACTCTCCTCATCTCCAGCATTAAGAAGGAAACTTCACAATCGCCCATCTTTAGCTGTACATACCCCTGGCCCATCGTTCCTCTCCATCTGCCAGGGAATCACTCATCCTCGGTAGTAAATCCTACCCATGCCGCGGATTCCCCTACAGCCTCAAAACAGGCCCTGCAGTTTCAGGACCTAACAAAATCAACTTTGGAAACTCTTCTAGACACCAAGGATTAGTGCAAAACCCAAGTGCTTTGGGGGCCAGCAGGTTAAGGTATAGTGGTTAAGACATTGGACTTCCACGTGGCTGACCAGAGTGTGACTACTGCACCTGGCAGCCAAGCACATGTGTGCACGTGCCCAAAATCCCAAGAGGAGAATGGAGGAGAAGGGACTGTGGCGTGGCCATCCCCCCTGGGGGGTTTCTCACTTCCCTCTCACTGTCTCTCTCTGGCAAGTGCACACACACTATGGCAAAAACCTAAATAAATAACAAAAAAAAAAAAATCAGGGACCAGCAGTTAGCATAATAGCTATGTTGCTGGACTCCCATGTAGTCAACTGTGGTTCACGTCCAGGACCCGGTGGCTTAAAACTCACGCCGGGTGCGTGTGCATGCGTGTCCAAGATCTTGAGAGAACGGAGGCGAAGGGATTGCGGCGTGGCCATCCCCCCTAGAGGGTGATTTCTCGCTTTCTGCCTCTCTGTCTGTCTGTCTGGCGAGAGCGCGTGCCCTACAGCAAAAACCTTTCCAAAAAAATTTAAAATAAACAAACAGAAAAAACAAACCCAAATGCTTTATCATGGGGAAAAAGAAGATTACAAACGGGTATAAAGGAAGAGATTGGTGTTTTAAAAATCAAGGAGTATATTTAGTCGTGTTAGAAATAACAGGTTGGATAGCAAAGTCTGATCAATTTTTCATCTGTAAGGAACATGACTCACTTTCTCAAGTACACCTCAATATAGTCAACAAAACTGCTCTAACCCGGCAACGTCAAGGATGCAGGCTGACAGTCCTAACTGTACCTAACGACACTCTGGAGCGCAGTTTACAAGCGCTTCAGTACTTGCAGCCCACAGGCCTTTTCCTCCATAGCCTGTATTGTGTGTGACGGGCTCAGCCCAAGGCAACCCAAGCCCACAGAGCCAAACGTTGAGAAGCAAGTGAATGGAGACCCAGCAGATGGTGTAATAGTTATGTCGCTGGACTTGCAAGTGTAGTCAACAGTGGTTTGAGTCCCGAACTCAGAGACTTAAAACTCACACTGGGTGCGTGTGTATGTGTGCCCAAGATCCTGAGAGGAGAATGGAGGAGAAGGGATTGGGGCGTGGCCATTTCCCCTGGAGGGTGATTTCTTGCTTTCTGTCTGTCTCTCTCTGGTGAGCACATGTGCCCTATACCATAAATCTCTCTTAAAAAAAAAAAAGAGAGAAAGAAAAAGAAAAGCAAGTGAATGAGTGACTCTTATGAAATGTGCCCTTTCTGTCATGGTAAGCAGCCCGTCACGTTGTGGGCAACGCACCCCAGTAACCAAGCAGGATGCGGCCTTATGTTGCCCTGTGTCCCACCCACCGGGGACGCTTGCTCTGTGCTCAATAGTGCCAACTTGCCAGTGGGAGCTGGCCCCTGAAGACTCACTGTATGAGTCGCCAGCTTCCTCCTTCTCTGATAAACCCATAACATGATGTCCTAATTGCCTTTTCTGGATTAATGTCACCCTCCCTAAGAGCCAAATCCTCCATCTTAGCACACAGTGCAGAAACAGGGCGATCTCCCTAGCCATATTGTGGTCCTCATCTGCTGCCTTGACAATGGCGGCCCCGGATTTCCTGCAGCTCCTTCTGCAGTTGGCTCTTGTTATTCGAGGTAGTGATGCTTGAGAAAGGGACCATGAACTATGCATTAGCAATTACTAATCCATTCTTCTTAGGGGAAATAGTAGGCTAGGTTCCTGTAAGACTCTTAAAACATGTTTTTGTTAACTGACCTGGTTTTGTGCACACGTCTACTGGAAGAAATCTTAGCTAATGCACACTGTTGACTCATTCACACCCACCTCATGGCTGACAGCACTGGAACGCATGCTTGAGCGAAGCTCATCTAACACTATCCCTTCGGGCACACTGTGCCGTATGTAGGGACATTACATGCGACTGAGCGCTGTGCTTGGGGGCCATATTAAACAGTGGCATCACCAACAATAAGCACAAAAATGGTAGATGCATGGCACTAAACAGACCGGAAAAAGGACACTTGCAGCAGGAGGGGTTGACACATGAATGTGAGTGTCGCTTCACGGGGCCTCAGCTGGGATGTGCATGTCACATGACTCGAACCATTCACCATCCTGGACATGTCCACGAATGACCATGAAAGCTCATGAGTACTGATTTGGGGTTACAAATGAATTTAGCAAGGAGGACAATCTGCAAATGCAGAATCTGAGAATAATGAGGACTGACTGTCTGGAGGGGGAATTGCCTAAATCCTAGCTTACAGCTCACAAGAAATTGAGGATTTAGGTGAGTTAAGAGTCTTAACTCCTACAGATCTTATGACAGTCTCTATTCCATAATTCTACACAAAGAGTGTTAAATATCCCAGCTTTTTCTTTAGTACCAGAGTCAAAACATCTAATTGATTCTAGTTGATTTTCTTTGCTTATGAGTCCCTGGCTTTCCCTTGACCTCCTCAAATGCAATGGGAGAAATGAGCATGAAATTCATTCACTTCTGTGTGTTCTCTTCACTGAAATATGGAAACGGGGCCAGCAGGTGGTGTGGTGGTTAGCATGTTGGACTCCCACATGGCCAACCGTGGTTTGAGTCCTGGACCTGACGGCTTGCTTTCTCACTTTCCCTCTCTCTCTCTCTCTCTCTCTCTCTAGTGAATGCATGTGCCCTACAGCAAATTTAAAAATAATAATAATAATTAAATTAAATTAAATTAAAAAAGAAATATGGAGATAATGCTCTTTCTCATGTTTGGATCCATTTCCTGTATATGCAACTTGAGAAGTGACAGAGTCAAGACATGACATATGATTTAAAAAAATATTTCATATCTGCCTATGCATAGATTATATTCCTTAGCAGTGCTCGCACAGCAAAACAATGGGAATAACGTCAAGAAGCCCAAACCCTGTGAGCTCAAGAAATGATGTTGCTTCTTCAGAAAACATGCTGGAGACACCCATTTGGCGCACGGACTCCTCAGAGGAGCAACACGCGCAGCCTGCAGCACGCCTCCACACTAACCACGTGGTATTTTTACACCAGGACCATCTAGTGCCTGAGTTTTCCCTTCATCAGTCTGTCCCAGTTAGTTGATTCATAATAAATTAGCCAAAAACTAGATGTTTGGAATACTGCAGGGGAGGGTTGGCAGGTGGTGTGGTAGCTGGGGTGCTAGACTCTCACATAGCTGACTGCTGTTCAAGTCCGAGTCGGTGGCTTGCTTTCTCACTCACCCTCATCCCATCTCTTTCTGGTCAAATTAAAAAAAAAAAAACTAATGAATAAATTTTTTTTTTTTTTTTAAAGAAATACTGAGGGAGAGGAATAGAGTAGGAGAGAGATGAAGCCATTGAAAGAGGAGCCAATGAGAAAATACAGGCTAGCTGAAAGACGTCATGCATGCCAATGGCAGAAAAAGGGAAACTAAAAAAGCTTATAGATGGTGTGTATAGACCCAGCAGAGACGAACACACGGTTTACCAGAAATAATTTCCCATAGCCTTAATATAAATAGCTGCTGTAGGTACCAGCTGTTGGCATAATGACTATGTTGCTAGACTCCCACGTAGTTGACTGTGGTTCGAGTCCCAGACCCGGTGATTTAAACTCACACCAGGCGCATGTGCGTGCGTGCCCAAGATCCTGAGAGGAGAATGGAGGAGAAGGGATTGCAGTGTGGCCATCCCCCCTGGGGGGGGGGGGGATTTCTTGCTTTCTGTCTCTCTGTCTCTCTCTTTCTGGTGAGCACATGCGCCCTATAGCAAAGAAAAAAAAAATCAATCAGTCAATAAAAAGCTGCTATAAAAGGGATATGAGCTGACCCTTATAGCTTTCTGATAATGCAAATAATGACCAAGAATTGAATCAAGATGCAATTCACAGAGGAGTCTGTGAAACTCCCCCTTTCATGACTGAGCCCATGGGATGCATGAGCAAGCAGAAACGAAGCTTTATCAATATCAGAAGGTTACAGAAATGCTGTGTGTCGAATATCATGTCAACAGCAGGAGTAGTTCTGAACTGAGCTAATTGTCTTTGGAGAACTCAAGATTCGAGGGGGATTCTGAGCCCCTCGGTAGTGTCTGGTAACAGCGGTGAGTCACACGTGCTTTTCTGGATGTCAGCAGATTTCCTCTTCCTGGATGTGCAAGTGGGAGTCACTGCTGTTCACAGACTTCCTTTTTTAAAGTTAAAATTGTAATTGACAAAATAAAAATCACTCCTATGTGTGCTGCGTGGCACGATGTTTTGAAATATGTATACGCTGTGGGATTGCTAAATTGGGCTCACAGATGCATCACTTTTCTCTCTCTTTCGGTGGTGAGGACACATAACATCGCCTCGTAGTGGAAGACTTGTACAAGAGAGAAACATACCAGGAAAGATGGAAAAGACGAAATGGCAAGAGGAATATTCAAGCAAAGTCAATTGCTCATCTGCTTAAAAAAGTCCAGGGTCATAGACATGTCATGAAGTTACTATTTCAATAAGGAAGCTTCATTTAAAAATTGTACATGGTTTAGAGGCTGGTAGGTGGCGTGGTGGTTAAGGTGGTTGGGCTTCCAGATGGCTGACTACAGTTTGAGTCCCGGACCAGGCAGCTTGGTTTCTCACTTTCCTTCTTTCTCTCTGGCTCTCTCTGGTCAACTTCAATAAATAAATAAATAAATAAATAAAACAATGACAATGAATAAAAATAGAATTAATTAAAAAAAAAGAATAATAAAAATTGCACATGGTTTGAAAAGGGAAGACTGCAGGTAAATGAGGATAAAGAACCAAGAGTAATGTTTATTGAACACCTACCATTACCAACTTTACAGGCTGTCGCTTATCAAAAAACCTTACAAAAAGATTCTATTAGTCTCACATTCCCAACAAAAATGGAGGTTAGGCATAAATATCCTACGAAGGTCCTCAGAAACCAGGTCTGCGCAACTTAGTCTTCCTCTCTCGGCTACATTTTATGAAGAGGGAAGATGCAACACAGGAAAGGCAAACGTTGTATCATGTTCTGGCCAAACGTTCTCATTCTAGAGCAGAGCTAATAATGCTGATCTCAGAGGCTGCCTAAGAGTGAAATGAGATAATACGCTTGGTGCTGACAGTAAGCTATAATAGGGGATGCCTATTTTTTTTCTTTGGTTTTCCTTTCTCACATCACATATTTCTTTTTTCTTTTTTAAGATGTGGAGTGAAATGGGAAGGTGTGCTCATAAACTCAGAGGTGCCAATAGTCTCCGTTAGTGCCACTTCTTTTTTTTTTTTTTGAGAGGTTTTTGCTATAGGGTGCATGCGCTTGCCAGACAGACAGAGAGAGACAGAGAGACAGAAAGCGAGAAATCACCCCCCAGGGGGATGGCCACACCGGAATCCCTTCTCCATTCTCATCTCAGGATCTTGGGCATGCACACACACACGCCCGGCGTGAGTTTTTTAAGCCACCGGGTCCGGGACTCAAACCGCGGTCAACTACATGGGAGTCCAGCAACATAGCCATTACGCTAACTGCTGGTCCCCTCATATCACATATTTCTCATATTTTTTTCCCAAATTGATAAGAAAGCATCTATCTACTAATAATGTCCACCCAGTTAGATATTCAATAATACTCACATAGAAAAAACAAGAAGAGAAGCATCATCTATAGACATACCTTACTGTATTAGATAAAGCAATTTGTTGACTACTGGGAGTGACGCTTCCTAAAACCTTTGGAAATGTTATTAACTGGGCAGTTAGCAGAATGAGATGGGGGCGAGAACAGGAAATGATTTTGTATGCAATGAAAATCAGAGATGATACGATACCAACACTATTTTTTATATTAGTGCTTATAAATTTGACCTTGGTCCATATATATATAATTACCCTTTTGATAGAGAACATGTACCAGAAGACTTCAAAAAGTTCAGAGAAAATAGAATTAACGTATGAGTTTATTTTGGTGCAAAAAAAAAAAAAATTGAAACCCACATGGTTTTTTCCATAATATGTATCTTCCATGAACTTTTGAAGACTCTTCATATATTCCATTTCAAATAACTTCTGCCTTGCCCAAGAGAGAAAAAAATGCCTAGGTGGGTTGTCAGCAAGGCTTGGAATAAACACAGATTAAAGTATCTAGTATCTAGTTTTTACCTTTTTTTTGGGGGGGGGGGGAGGTTTTTGCTATAGGGCGTGTGTGTGTGTGTGAGAGAGAGAGAGAGAGAGAGAGAGAGAGAGAGAGAGAGAGAGAACGAGAGAAAACACCCCCCCGGGGGTGTGCGCGCAGCGAGAAATCACCCCCCAGGGGGGATGGTCACGCTGCAATCCCTTCTCCTCCATTCTCCTCTCGGGATCTTGGGTATGCACTCACACGCATCCGGTATGAGTTTTAAGACACCGGGTCTGGGACGCGAACCACGGTTGACTACATGGGAGTCCAGCAACATAGCCATTATGCTAACTGCTGGTCCCTAAAGTATCTAGTTTTAAGGAATTACTAAGATTCAGTCTAGCTTCTTATGGTCCTGATTTACTAAACTCTGAAGAGTAACATTTCTTAGAAAGAACTGAAATCGGAGGCAGTTGTATGTCTTAAGACCAAAATGCCTCCTTGATCATGAATATTAAATCCAAGAACAGGACAGAAAAGTTTAGACTACTTGATCACCACTCAACCAAGCATTTTCTGTAAGACACTCAAATATGGGACCAGTGGATGGTGAGTTGGTTAAGGTGCTGGATTCCCATGTAGCTGCCTGCGGTTCAAGTCCTGGACCTGGCGACTTCCTTTCTCATACTCCCTACCCGCCTCCCTCTCTTGTGAATCCATGTGCTCTATAGCAAATTAAAAAATAATAACAATAAGTAAAATTAAATAAATAATTATTTTAAAAAGACACGCAAATATCAATCATGTATTAGTCTTTGAAAAATGTAGACAAACCTAAGAACACAGAATACATACATTAATGTTTTGCAATATGCTTATTCAATGAAGTTAGGAGTATTGTCTTCTCTCCTCCCCCATAAGTACTCATGCTAACAGCAAAAATATGAGAAAGACTATTATTATTATTATCATGTGGTTGGGAAAGTCATGATGTATTTATTTATTTATTTATTTATTTTGAAGAGGTTTTCGCTATAGGGTGTGTGCACTCACCAGAAGACAGAGAGAGACAGAAAGTGAGAAATCACCCCCCAGGGGGGATGGCCACGCCACAACCCCTTCTCCATTCTCCACTCAGGATCTTGGGCATGCATGCACACAGGCCCAGAGTGAGTTTAAGCCACCGGGTCCAGGACTCGAACCGCGGTTAGCTACACGGGAGTCCAGTGACATAGCCATTACGCTAACTGCTGGTCCCATCATGATGTATTTTTCTACTCAAAGTGCGTCATGACTTTCCTGATGACTCAGTATTATTTTGGGAAGTGGACATACTTATCAACCGATCACATAATCATCAATCGGATATTTCCAACGTGACCTCCACAGGAAACCAACAGAACTTACATTGTACGATGTGGGAGATCAAGAGCGCAGCGCTGGTGTCGTTACACGTCAGCCTGCCCTGAGCCAGGTCCTGTTTCACCTGCAGAGCAAATAGGTACCTGCGAAGACCAACAGAGACGGGTGTCACGTAGGGAGAGCAGGGAGGGCTGGCGTGGCAGGCACGTTCATGCTGGCAACCTGTCCACACCAGGACGGGACAGAAGGATAGATGAAACCAAAAAGCATGGAAGCTGGCATGGGCTAGAAGGGCTTACTGCGCTACTTACTGCAGTGTAAATGCCCACCTCCCTGAAAACACAAAGAACCATGAGACACACAAGGGGACCGCAAATGTTCAAGAGAGGGGTCAGCAGGTGGCGTGGTGGTTAAAGGCACTTGACTTCCACAGAGCTGACCACGGTTCAAATCCCAGACTTGAAACTCATGCTTTCCCTCTCACTGTCTCTCTCTGTGTGTCTCTGGAGAGCACATGTGCCATACGGCAAAAACCTAAAAAAGAAAAAGTTGATGGGAAAATGGAATTAAAATTCAAGTTTATTTTGATGCAAAAAATTTTCTTAAATCTATGCATAGTTTTTTCATAATATGCATTTTCTGTGAAGTTTTTGAAGTCCTCTCAGCTATTCACATAATGAATAATGCATTCCATTTTATAAGAAGAGATACAGTCATAAAAATAAAAGACCAGAATCTACCCCCGATATATTTTCACGAGGCATAATAAAAATTTTAAATGTTTTCACAAGATCAGTCACACATACTATAAAATGGCCTATGGCTCAGATATCAACAGTGGTTAGTAAGACCCTGACAATGGAATCAAAAGAACAAAGTTTTGTGTTTTTATGAGAGAAAGAGATTTTTGCTATAGGGTGCATGCACTTGCTAGAGAGAGACAGAGAGAAATCACTCCCCAGAGAGGTGGCTATGCCACAGTCCCTTCTCCTCCATTCTCCTTTTGGGATTTCGGACACACATATATGTTTTTCTGGTGTGAGTTTCAAGCCTCTGGGTCCGGGACCTGAACCGTGGTCAACTATGAGGGAGTCCAATGCCTTAACCACTACACCACCTGCTGGCACCAAGGTATATTTTTTTGTGGTATTATATTCACTTAACTATTTTCAAAACTAAAGTTACTAGATCTGAAAAAAAAATCAATTTAAGTTATATTAAAATTCATTTCTTTATATTATGGGATAAAGCAAGTCAACATTGTTGGCACAAGAGAACAAAGATACATGAAAATCAAGAAATTAAGTAAAAACCAACAATGTAAAATGGATCTGAAAAATATCAGAATGAACGCAGACATTTTTAGAAAGGTATTTACTTTTTTTACTGACTACTTGGAAACAGTTTGTCCTCAGTGTCGACCCTTAGCAAGCAGATTCTGTCTCTCTTACAACCACACACTGGGAAAACAGAGGTAGTTCTCTGTCTCTCTGGCAAGCAAACGCATCCTCTAGCAAATTAAAACAAAACATGGGTTTTATCAAAAAGGTACAGGAACATCTTGAAAAGATGTTTAGTGGCCAAAATTTGTAACAACATGAACAGCAACAGAAATTATTAAAGTATTTAAAAACACATTGAATTAATGAAAATTCATGAGTCCATAATGATACTTGAGAAAAGAAAATAGGTCAACTTCATGGCATAGTGGTAAAACCCTGGTCAAGAGAAGCCAGATCCCACACAGCAACTGTGGTTCAAATCCCAGTCCCGTCACCCTGAAATATGCCAGGCACGTGCAAGAGTGCCTAAGATCTGATGGGCTGGAGGAGGGATTGCGGCGTGACGGTAGTGTAGCGGTGGGGGGCACTCCTACCTGTCTCTCTCTGTCTCTTTCTCTCTCACTGCCATGTGTGCGCACATATACACACACCCCTCACCATGAATAAAGAAAAAAAAAAAAAAAGGAAAGCAGAAGAAATGGATGTTTTCACCATCTGAGGAGGCTATTCAACAACACCTTATGGAAAAGTTGGTGTCTCAGGACCAAGAACTGAGCATCTGGTTCTCAGTAGGAACGACATCTCAGGATGGACTGTTAGACAGTCCAAGAGGCTGAGCCAGAACTTTACTTTACAGGAGAATGTCAACTTGTAATTGGCAGGAATCACAGAATTATTCTCCTTCCCAACCTCAAAAGAAATCACTGTCGAGGATCATCAACAGGCGAACAAACCACTTAGAAGATTAGACATTCGCACAGTCCCCAAACACAGCCTCACTACACAGTGGACAGACCACAAGGTCTTAATCCAATGGACAATCTTAGCATCATTAAAGAAACAGGAAGCTCGCTGCACCACTTCAGGTGCATTCGAGCCAAAAATGTTTACTGTATCCACCAAGTCTTTAGAGCAGATTTCCAGTTTTCAGGAAAACATGAAAGACACAGGAATAAGCTAAATAGCATACAGGAAGCAATCAGACACATTCAGGAAGTGGGGTATTTTATGGTGCAACTGGTTCAATTTCCTTAGCAATATAGCATCAAGGAGACAGGAAATGAGGGAATATTCCGGATTAGAGAGGACCAGAGGACATACAACCTCATGTAATACGTGGTCCAAGAGTGAGTCTTATTTTAGAAGATGGAGATTTAAATTATAGTTGGGGAACAAATAGGGAAATCTGAGTTTGGCTAAGGTTTTAGATGAGATGAAAAGTACACATGTATGCACAGACAAAAACATCAGAAAGGATATTATACTAACATGATGGGCAACAGAAATACAACATTTTACTTTCTCAGTCTTCTCTTTCGCTCTCATTTCTTTTAGAGTTTTGCCACAGGGTAAGTGCACTCACAAGAGAGACAGACAGAGAGTGAAAGTGGGAAATCACCTCCCAGGGGGATGGTCACACTGTAATTTCTTCTCCTCCAATCTCCTTCTGTTTTTTTTTTTTTTTTTTTGGTGGGGGGGCACACACATACATGCACACGGTGTTTTTTTTTTTTTTCCAAGCTGCTGAATCTAGGACTCATATCATGTAGTCAGCCATATGGGGAGTCCAGCGCCTCAACCATTATACCACCAACTGGCCCAAATTAAACAGCCTTTAAAAAGGCCTTGAACAATATAATCTACAGAGGTTTCCATAAGAATTAAATGAGCTAATACTTGTACATGGAAAACAGAACGATGAGAAAAAACCATGCAATAAATGTTATCCAATTTATTTTTAATAAAAGAATAATTAATTCGTTTTAAGTCATTTAGAAAGTTCTATTGTTAAGAACTAATATTGGCCCAGCAAGTGTTATAGTGGTTAAAGCACTGGACTCCCACAAGGCTTGAGTCCTGGACCTGATGGCTTGCTTTCTCACTTTCCCTCTCCTCTCTGGTGAGTGTACATGCCCTGTAGCAAATTAAAACATAACAATAATGAAAAATAAAATATAATAAATAATTCTAAAAAAGTAACTAAAACACACCCATTGATGAGAGTTGGCCTTGATCGAAACTGCCTACTTATTCTTGCTCTCACTCGCCCCTCTCCCTTCTCTCTCCCCCTAGAAAGTCAAACAAGAAAAGCAGAGAACATAAAACCATCTAACGTCAACCTAGGGCTTCCTACTGGAAGAAAGAGTACAGATGGCCTTTCTGGATCAGGCAATGGTCATTTGTCTTTTGAACCCAATACTTTGGAGAACTATGGCTTTGATTTTAGTCGTTGTGGTTAATTTCTGAAAGAAGCAGTGGAGCTTTCCATTTTAAAAGCACCACATTCGGAACATTTTGCCGTTCACCCGTTCAAACATGGGGTTCCGTGTTCCCAAAGAAGTGCTTGGAGAGAGATTGATGGTAAGAGGTTGGCGGGCCATTGGAGGACATTACGCTAAGTGAAATACACCAGGCCCAGAAAGACAAATCCCACATGCTCTCCCTCATCTGGAGGCATGGAAAAGCCTACCTCATAGAAGTAGATCATTGAAGAATAACTTCTGTAGGAGGGAAGGATGGGGATGGGTGAAGCTAGGGGAGATGTTATCGATGGAAAGCAGAATTACAGAGACATAGGAGGAACAATTTGTGGTGTTACAAATGTCAGCAGCGTGAATACAGGTCCAATTTATCATATATTTCCGAGTAACCAAAAAGAGACGGTTTTGAATGTTCCCAACTCCAAGTAATGACTAGCGGCTGAGCTGATGGAAACACGAATTATACTGATTTAATCAATGCGCATTGCATCTCTACTCAAAAATCACAGTGCGCCCGCAAATGTGTGCATCTATTGTATTATTTGCCAAAAAATAAATGAATAAAGAGTCTGGTAGGCTCTGGGGACCTTCGCCGATGGTTCCGAGTGGCTGCAAGACAATATTAGGTTCCGAAAAGTTCACAGTTTTGGTCGCAGGGCACATGCCATTGTGAAGACTGAAGGAAGCACTTGTCCCCCTCAGATTATGCTGACTCTTCCTGTTCAAAGGTCCTTGAAATCCGAGAAACAGCTTCCTGGGCACCAAGGGCTGGCTCTTCTTACTGCCAGGAGCTGAAAGCTGAGCATACTGGCTGCGCTGCTAACTTTAGAGACTTAGCGACACCTTTGGTCCCATACACGGAAGCGGTTCTATCACACTCCCAAGAGCAAAAGGCTAGGTTTTACTCAGCGGGCGCAGAATAAAACGGAACCATTCACACGATGAAGGCTCAAAGCATGCAAAATGGAATGAGTCCTCCTCGGCCCAGGGAACCCATGCTGGTGCAGGACCAAACAGAGCGCTTTCTTCCAGGGACAGCGAGTTACACATCACACCCTTCCTGTGCTTTGTTTTCCATGTGTCTGTTTTAATTTATTTCAAATGGAGGGCTTAATCTTCTCTGTTCTTATTAAGTGGAAATAATGTCGTTTCCCTGCCAGCCTAAGGGAGCACTTCAGCAGGCGACAGAGGCACATTCTGACAGGGTCCCCTCCCCTTACAAGAACACAGCCAGGCTGGCCCCACAGGGCAGACCTGGGTTCAGATGCAAGTCCCAGCTCCAGAGGCTCGAAACACACACGGGGCACATGTTCATGCACGCCCCAGATCTCAACAAATTGGAGAAACAGAGAAGAGATTGCAGTGTGACCATGCCCCACC